TGCATTTTGGGTGTTATTACCCATATAGAAAAATTAGGTTCCCCCTTGGTAAGTTGTAATTTTTATCATTATGGTATGACCTTAAAAAATACCTAATAATGCTTTTGCCTGTGTTGTCTGGAATTAATAATAGAATAGCTATACTGGCTCTCTTTTCTTTGGGTTCTGTATAATGGGCATATCTTCTCCAGTCTTCCTTTTTCCTCCTTTCTTTGACTTTTAGATATCTCTTAGTGTTATTAAAGATTACTTTATAGTTATTTTTTCCTAATTATTTTGTTCAATTTACATTTATTATAATTGTTGGCATAATTGTATTTATAGTAAGTACCATCTTATTATTCTATTTGTTTAGTATTTTACTTCATGTCTTTTGGTTTTAAAAATTTTATTTTAATCTGTTTCACTTTTGAAATGTATTTTTTCTGGGAATGCAGTTGTAGGCTGATGGTAACTTTCAATTATTGATTAAAGATGGAATTTCATTGTCTTCTGGCCACAGTTGTTGCTGCTAAAAAGTCAGCTATCAGAGCAACCATTGCTGTTCTGAAGCTGATACTCTGCAAATCAAATGAGGGCTGACTGTGTGTTTCATTTCCTGTGGGTTTGTCCTCAACCCCTAACTAACTCGGTTCAATAGGGAGTCACAGAGATGGTGGAGCTATTTCTTTTTCTTTCTTTTTTTATTACTGGGGATTGAATGTGGGGTCTCTGTACATGCTAGGCAAGCACTCTACCACTGAACCACACCTCCCAGCCCTTTAAAAAAAAAATTCTCATTTTGAAACAGGGTTTTGCTAAGTTGCCCAGGCTAATCTCAAACAGGTGATCCTCTGAGTAGTTGGTCAAAGGTGTCTGGTGGGGGTTCCTTCTTGTTTACATGTATTGTACTCAGTTGTGGCCACTGCTGACTACTTGTGTTTGGGCCTGGGCTGGGGAGTCTTCATTGTATTTCCTACTTGTGAAGGACTTCAGCTTTGCCCTCACTCCTCTTGTTCACCTTGTCAGAGAAATAATTTTGGTACAAATACCAGGTTGAATACCTCTGGGCACTACACAATCACTGGCTTAAGAATTTGGTGCTAGTTTGTAGATGTTTTAAAGAAACTTCATTCTATTACATCTGTCATTTTTGGTTGCTTTCAGAGAGGTAGTGTCACTAGGTTTCTTGCCCACTATATTGTAAGAAATGAAAAATCTTATGTTCTTTAAGGTTCGGAGAGTTACTAAAGCTATACTAAACTATGTAAAATAACTGCAGGTACCTTGAAACCTTTAGAGGGAAGATCATAGTTTTACTAAATCTATGAAAGTAAAAATAATGTCAATATTTTAGATGTTAATTTTGGCTCTCTTTATTGGAAAAGTAGGCATGTAATTAAAACCGGCAGCAAAGCTTTCTTTTTTAAGATTGCATATAATACATTATATCTATTTCACACCATGAAACAGTACAGCTTTTCATTAGTAACCCTGATATTTTTCTAATAATCATAGTTTTTATTCTCACGACATTATGAAAAGAAGGCTTTGATTAAATGATAATTTAGTCTAGTTGGCCCTTCCAAAGAGTTAATAAGCAGAAAATAGCACTAGTCTTATTGCTTGTGTTACGTCCCACAAGGGATTCCAGAGGGACTAGGACAGCTTATTTCAGGCAGTCACACACTGAATTGGCCTGACAGCCTCCGAGTTTATAGAGCACTGAGATGACTCTGGACCTCTTTGCAACCTAGGTGCTAAAATAGTTGTGGTTTTCTAGGGCTAGGAATTGACTGACAATTGTGATACAAAGTATATGTGAAGGTTCCCCCATAAATAGCATCTTTCCTTCCCACATTTGGGGAGAAGGTTTATAGAACCTTATGTAGAAGTAAAAGCAAAAGAAAGAACAGAACAAAGTATCCAGAACAAAATGTCATCTTCATATATGATGTAATGAGGTCATAGATTCTGAGGGCAAATGGACTTCCTTATATTATATTAAACCGCCACATGAGGGCAGCTTAGTACCTCCCAGTTAGAGCAACCTTCTCCTAGTGTTTTAAGTACACATTATATGAGAAGACAACTCGAGTATGAGTGGGTCTACCCCCAACGAGAACAAGTAAACTGAGCACTTAGGCACATCCATTTCACTTTTTTTTTCCAAATTTGCTAAACGGGCAACATATTTTTCTTAAGTGCAGTGAATAAAAGAACAGAGGGAGGCTACAAGTGGCCTTTATTCTGTTTGCATGGTAGGAAATAAATTGGGAGGAAGCATTCTCTCTAGTACTCTTGAAATATGCCAGACGTTTGAGGAAATCAAAGTACATTGTAATTTTCTGTTCTGGCAATCAAAAGTTCATACGGTATGCTACTAGTAGTAATGAGAAGAAAAATGAACACTTATAGAGAACATGGTACTTTCCATGATCTGGATTGTTAAGGCAATCAGATGGCACAAACACTTATCAAACTGCCTCATTTTATCTTCGTTTTATAGATAGGGAAGCTGAGGCACAGAGATGAATGTGCCTGAATCATATAGCTGGTAGAATGCAAAGCCATGACTTAGACTGAAATATCACTGAATAGTTTCTCTTTTAAATTTTTTTTTGTAGTTGTACATGGACAGAATGCCTTTATTTTTATGCTGTGCTAAGGATTGAACCCCCCAGTGCTTCACACATGCTAGGCAAGTACTCTGCCACTGAGCTACAGCCTCAGGCCTCTTTTTGTTTTTACACAAAAAAAGACATATTAAAGTAATGCACACATACTGTAACAATCCAGACAGTGTAAAATATGGGTGAAGTAGCATTGGTAGACTCCTTTTCCTGTGACCTACACCTGTTAGAATCATCATTATCAGTGTTGTTATTTTTCTATGCTTTTCCTTTGGTTGTGTATATTTTAAACAAATGTGGGATTATATTATACATATAATTCTCCATTCAGTATTTTAAATTAAAATATACAATGAAATAGTATGCTTAGATATTTAATATTAGTGTTTTATAAATTTTCTCCCAGACTGAGAAACTGTGAGGCTTAATGTTGTCATTTTGAGCAGAAATTTGAAATTATGAAGTTTAAAATATATATATTTCATTCTTAGTGCCTCTTTGTCCTAAAAAGCTTTGCCTACTCAAGATAGTGTATTCTTATGATCTCTTGTAGAAGTTTTGTGGTTTTAAACTGTTATTGTTTGTTGAAGTTTGTCATTCATCACAGTCATTTCCGAGTATGGAGTTTGCTGAGATGCTTTTTATGGTCCATAGCATGACCTAATCTGGTACTGTTTTGTGTGATCTTGGAAAAGTGTGTTCTTTTGTTGAGCAGAGTGCTTGGTGAATGTGAAGCTTGGTTGGTAGTGTTAGCTGTGTCTTGGCAACTGTGGACAATGCTGCAGTGAACATGGGAGAGAAGACATCTGTGATACTGACCTCAGTTCCTTTGGTTATGAGATTTCCAAATCAAATGGTAGTTCTACTTTTAGTTTTTTGAGGAACCTCCATGGTGTTTCCCAAAATGCCTAAACTAATTTACAATGCTTCCAACAGTCTACAAGGGTTCACTTTCCCCACATCCTTGCCAACAGGTATGATTTTTATCTTTTTGCTAATAGCCAATTTTAACAGATATGGAATTACATCTCATTGTGGTTTTAATTTCCATTTTTCTGATAATTAGAACTTTTGAGCACTTTTTTATATATCTATTGGCCATTTTATTTATTTATTTATTTGAGAAATACCTACTCAAGTCCTTTGCCCATGTTTTTAATAGGGTTATTTGTTTTCTTGTTGAGTGGTCTGAGTTCTTTATGTGTTGTTGATATAAGCTCTGTAGCCAATGTATGATTTATAATTATTTTCTCCCAATCGGTGTGTTTTCTCTTCACTGTATTAATTGTTGCCTTTGCTGTGCAGAAGATTTTATTGGATGTGATCCCATTTTCTGTTTTTCATTGATTGTGTTTATGGGATCATATCCAAGAAATATTCTTCCTTGATCAATGTCATAGGAGTTTTTCCTGTTTTTTTCCTAGTAGTTTATAATTTCAAGTTTTATATTTAAGTGTTTAATTCATGCTGAGTTGATTTCTTTATATAAGGATTAAGGTAAAGGTCTACTTTTATTCTTCTGTATTTGTATATCCAGTTTTCCCAGTACTGTTTATTGAAAAGACACTTTCCTTTCCCCATTGTATGTTGTTGGCATTTTTGTCAAAAATCGGTTGGCAGTGAATGTATAGGTTTATTTCTGGGCTTTATTGTTTTCTGTTGATGAGTAGACCTGTTTTCATGCTATATTGACTATAGTTTTGTAGTACATTTTGAGATCTGGTAGTCTGAAACCTCCAAATTTTCTTTTGTTCAAGATTTATTCATCTATTTTGGGGTCTTTTCTGGTTACATAAGAATGGGATCTGATTTTTTCTATTTCTTTGAAAAATGATATTCAAATTTTGATAGGAATATTATTTGTGGATCTCGTTGGGAAGTGTGGACATTTAAACAATATTCTTCCAATCCATGAACACAGAATACTTTCCATTTATTTGTGTCATCTTCAATTTCTTTTATCTGGGTTTTATAGTTTTCAGTAAACAGATATTTCACTTTCTTGGTTAAATTTACTCCTAAGTATATTTTTTTCTTCATTGTAAATGAGATTATTTTTCAGATAGTTTCAGATGTATAAAAATAATACTGATAGGGGCTGGGGTTGGGTGTAACTCAGTGGTAGAGTGTTGCCTAGTGTGTGTAAGACCCTAGGTTCAATCCCTAGCACTACCCTCTTACACCTCGAAAAGATAAATGCTACTGATTTTTATGTTTATTTTTGTATCCTGCAATTTTACTGAATTTATCAGTTCTAACAGTTTTTGGTATTAACTTTGGTTTTGAGAGATATTATTATTGGGTAGAGATTTGTCTGAAGAAATGACATGCATGTATTCCTACTACTAAATAATAGTCTCTGGATTTCTCCTTGTTTGATGTCCCTAGGAAGAACGTGTTGTGAATCACATGGCTGCAAAGATTATTGAGAATGTCTGCACAACTTTTTCAGCTCAGGCGCAGGGCTTCATTACAGGAGAAGTTGGACCTGTTTTATGGTACCTATTCAGACATTCCACCGTTGATTCTCTTAGGATAACAGCAATTTCGGTAAGATGGAACATCTTTCGAGGACATATCTTTAAATGCCAAGTTTGAAGACATGTGCCAGAGTAAGAGTAAACTTAATTAGTAGAAAACAGAAATCTCAGAGGAATAGTTGGTGATAGCAATAATTTGATTTTTCTTTTTTCCTGAAGTGGGATTTTAAGAATGGGAGCTGGAAAACCTTGGGGGCTATGAGGAAATTCCGGTAGGCCTTTGTTGGACTATGACAGACAGCATTTTAAAAGCTGTTTGGAGGTGATAGTGGAAAACTGTGGCAATAGGGCACAGGATTTGGTTTGTCATAGTTTTAGTGTTTCCTGCTTTTTCTTGTTAGTACCCTCACTCAGATTTTGTGTTAAAAGATTTTATCTTATGTGGTTCAGAAAAGCTAATTTTAATGTTCAGGCATCTGTGGTCTGACTTCTTATGTTTTTATTAGTTGTCTGCTCTTTTGTGCACATGCTTATATAATAAAGGACAATTATGTATGAAGATGTGTTTGCACGGTTTTATCAATTTAATACTCTGAACAAATGCAAGCCTTTTTCATAGGATTTATGTAAGTACTCTTTTTGGTTACCAGTCTCATCTGGCTTTGAACATTATGTGGCACTCTTACTGTACTTCTCTTGTCAGCTTCTCTGTGACAGTTTCATACTTTCTTTCCTTAAACTTCTAATCCCACATTTCATCCTGTGTCCTCACTGAATGAAGTGTCCTTACTGCTCAGAGGAAAATGGGGACATCTGCTGGAAATTATTCGTTCTCCATACCTGTTGACCTGTTTATATGTACACCTCTCAATTCTTTCCCTCATAGTATAATTGATGAGCTGTCCTTGCTCCTGTCAGGTACAAACTTCTTCATGTTTCTCCAAATCATTTTCTTGGTTCCTCCTTGGGAAATTCATATCTATGGCGACTTTTGTTCTTTTCCCAAGTCTTGAATTTTTCTTCTTCACAGATACATGTAGTTGGGATTCAAGTATTATTTAATCTGTGTCCCTTCCCCTTAAAGCAAAAACAAACATAGCAAAAAGTACCTTCACAAACACACTCTTCACAAACATATGACTTTAGAGTTTCTGCACTGTACTGTTGTTCCTTTCTGGCCCGTGTTTCCTCGTCGGTATCTGGTAACTATCTTAAATGTTTCTGAACCTGATCTTGGGTCACCAATGACTTTCATGTTGCTGAAACTTGTGGATGTTTATTATTTCTTTTCAGTTCTTATATCACCTATGTAATCTTGAAGATCAAGGGCGAAAATGCTGCTCTTTGAATATCGTTAAGAACGGGTATATATTATCCATTTCCCCCCCCCCCCCCCCACACACACACACATTCTCTCCAGCAGAAACATGTTTTAAAAATTTAAAAGAAAACAACTCATTTTTCTATTAATCATGGGGAAACTATCAGAAGGAGTTGGAGTACACTAGTGAATTTCCTCAAGGCATCTTTGAACTATAGTTTATGGGGTTTATGTTAGCTTTTCATCTTTATATTCAGTATCGTTTCTTTTCTTGGCCAAGTTTTTCCAGTTGTTCCCACCAAATTTTCATATCTTCTATCCCTTCCTTTCTTCATCTGAGGTATCAAGCTTGATTTTTTTCATCTTGTGCTTCTTATACTGTTCTTAACATTCCTTTGAATCTAATGACATTGAGATTTTGCCAATGGTCCCAACAGTGTCTTCTTTACTTTTCTGCTCCAGGATCCTATTCAAGTTCATATGTTGTATTTTGTTTTCATAGCTCTTTAGTCTCTACAGTCTGAAGCAGTTCTTCAGACTGTGTCTTTCGTGACATTTATAATTTTAAGAAGTGTACGGCTTTTATTTGTAGCATGAGGCCCCGTTTCAGTCTATCTGGAGTTTCCTCATTATACCTCCATAGCATCCTTCAGTGGCTCCTAACTGTTCAGCTGCCACATGATGAACATTCATTTGTATCATTTCTTTTACACCAGGGATTGCTAAATACTTTCTATAACAGACCAGATAATAAATGTTATGAGTTTTTTCCCCACATGCAGTCCCTAATGCATGTTTTTGTTTTGTATTCAATAGTCCTTTAAAAATGTAAAAACCACATTTTGTACTATTCATGAACTATATAAAAACAGGCCTTAAGTGTTAGTTGGTATTCTGTTTCAAGGCACCACTGCCCCTTCTCCCATGTGTGTGCATGTGTGTATATTTGTATCTATATCATTATGGACTCCTGGATTGCCACAATTTTCAGTACATTATAATGTAACACTCCTATGACTACTGGTACTGATGCTTCTCATTTTAATCTGATACTTTAGGATTCTTTCTAGTCTTACTCTGTGCCATGTTTGTAAATCCGGAGAAACTTGTCTCCAATAATTCCTGTTATATTTACTGATGTGTTTTATCAGTTAATTTACTCCCTTGGTGTAATAAGCTTCCACCATTCTGGCCCCCTACTCAGTGTTACTCTTCTTTCTTCTGGCCACTGCTACTCTGTCTCCTCTGTCTCCTCTTCCCCTCCTTGACTCAGCACTCTGTTTCTTGTTGTCCTGCTTCCTTACAAGGTGCAGTTTGAAACTGGGAGGAGGTTAAGAAGGATAGGTTAAGGAGAGTGAGGGTTAGCAGTCATTTTTAATGTTCCCTTCTCTTGGCTCCTTCTGTGTCACTGTTAATAGCCTGCTAGTCAACCTGCCCCGTGATTCTAATGCAGATCTGTCTACCTCCCTCTGCAGTACTGTGCTATCTCATAATTCATGACACCACTGTCTCTCACCTGGACCATTGGACTAGCTTCTTAAATGGTCTTCCAAAGGCCAATTTTATGCATCACCAGTTCTATTCTCCACATACAGTGAACTTCATGAAATTGTGTCTCCTCTTCTGCTTAAAATTTCAAACGACTTTTCCCCTTCCCTCCAGAGGGATTCACAATACTTTATTTAAAGTAGTAGGTAGAAGTTATGAATTGATAAGTGCTTTCAGTTTTAGGGTAATATTTAAAGTAGTGAGCATACTTTGCTTAGCAAACTAGTTATGTTAGTTTATTTTATTATAATGTGTTATAGATAATGAACTCCTTGAAATCCAGAATTATGTTTTGTGCATCTTTCAGTTTGATGCCAGGTATGTTGATTGCACATTAGGGCTTTTCCTGCAGAATTTGAGGGAACCTCCTCTCCCAAGTGTGAGTAGAGGGCAGGAGGTTACTTACATTAACTTTCCCTCTTTACTGGGAGGGGGAAAAAGTGAAAATAATAGAGGAGAGTGATCCTAATATCATAATCTTAAGAACATTACACCTATATCGTGAGCAGATTTATATGAGAAAGACAGGTTATAGAAACTAGGAATCTGTGGGCTGGGGCTGGGGGTCAGAGGTAGAGCACTCACCTAGCATGAGCAAGGCCCTGGGTTCGATCCCCAGCACTACATTAAAAAAATAAACAAGATATTGTGTCCAATTACAACTAAAATAAATAAATAAATAAAAAGAAACTAGGAATGTGTATTCTGAAGATACTTCACATACATTCCTGGCAAGAAATAACAGTTGCTTCCTCCCCTGGGGGCCTTGCTAGAGGCGAACTTTCTTCTCAATTATTTTTTCCATATTCACCTCTAAGGAATGTGTCATGGAAGTTAATGTACCTAGTTGGTGTTGAAATTGAGAGTTCTTACCATGACTTTTCAAGATCGTTCATGGTTTTGCCACTGCATTGCATATTTTATCCCATCTTGTAACACTAGTTCCCTTACTTAGTATGCCTCAGTCAAGCTTATAATTGGATATTTTCTAGGATTTTTGCACATTTTCCAGTCCTGGGACCTTTCCCCTTTCTTTTGCCTGTACCTGGGATGTTTTCTGCAGGGTTTTCACATGGCAACTCCTCATTTTTCAGGTCTCACCTTATGTGTCACCTCCTCCGTTAGGATGTACCTGGCTCCTCTTCCTTCCCATTGTGATTGGTTCTCTTCTTATTTTCCCCTCACAGAAATGAACACAGCTGTATTCCACTTATTTATATATGGTTTTCCCTATTAAAGTGTAAAGATAGGAGCCCTGTTGTTCCTCTCCTGAACACATGGAAGGTGCCTCGAGACTGGTGATGTTGATTGAATGAATGAGCATTGGGCGAGGGATAGCATTGCTTAGCTCTGAGGCATGAACCTGCTTCTTGATCCACTTGTAACTATCCACATTTGCTGCCTCGCACTGATTTTCTGAGTCATTTCTCCTAGTGAGGTCTGGCCCCATAGATTCCCCTACATCATTGTGGTCCCCAGACAAGCGGCATCAACATCAATTTTTTGCACCCCAATTTAGATTTGCTAAATCAGAATCTCTTTAGGGAATGAAAGGTGGTAGGCAAGGATGAGGCACAGTAATCTGCACTTCAATGGTCCTCAAGATAATGTATAACCTGTTGAAGTATGAGAACTAGTGCTCTGGGAGGGTACTAAAGACTAGGAGGGTTTCTGAGACCTTCTAGCCTTTAGAAAACACCAGTGTGGTTTAAAGTGAAAGATGACTTATTTCTTTTCCTTAGTGGTGACATAATTCATAGGTATTGGTAGTTGGAGGAAGTGGACTTGAGTTGGGGAAATGTGTTGAATAGACAAGTGAATCTTAGAATTATTGGGATTATAGGGAATCTCTTTATGGGAATCACAGTGGGGACTTGAGAAATTAGATTGAGTAAAATGGCTCCTATCGGGGAGCTGACTGGTGTAATCATAATTATTAAAGTGCTGAGATGAAAAGGTATCAAAAAATATGTGGGGTAGTGGTTCTCACTACTCTCACTAGAGGTATGGGTAGAGTGAGCACTTTTCAAGCAACATTAACTACTTTCTCTTCTCTCTCTTCACCTTGAATTTATCCTGATATATCTTAAGATCTTTCAAGGCTCAGATGAGAGAGTGTATAGTTTGAAAAAGCTTTCAGGGTAATATCATATGATGTTGAGAAATCATTTCAAAGACTGAAAAGAAATGGTTCTTTTCTT